TAAAATTCTTTTTTCTTTTCCATTATTCTAGATTTCTTATTTGGGGCTCTAATTATGTTAAATTTCTTTTACCTATATTCTATTCTACTATTTCTCTTTAATGTTGTGTTTTTTTCTGTTTTACTCTACTAAATTTTTTTATTTTTATGATTCTTACTATGCTCTCTGTGGTCTGTTTTCCCTTTGCTCCATTATAATTAAACTTCACTTCTAAAACAATTTGATTCCTTTTTTCCCCCTGAGTTTAGTAGGTTCCTGTTCCATATCCTCTTGTGAGTTCATGTATCTGTGATTTGTAGTTTGCCTTTAGAGCTGTGATACCTTTGTGCTAAATTAAAGCAGCACATCCCCCCTGAATGCCAAAACACGTATGTTAAGTTTAACTTGCATTCTACTCCCTCTTAAGACAGTGAAAAAAATCAAATGATTTAGAAGTTTAAAGCATATACATTTTCAGCAGTAAACAATACTAGAGGTCTAGGTACTTACCATGAAACCTGTGCCTGCTAGTAATCCAAATACCTTGCTATCTTGTGATCATCACAAATGGAGGTGTAGCCTGGGAGAAGAACTTCACAGGCAGTCTTTGCCCTCCTCTGGGAAGTTATACTCTCCTGCTGCTTTGAGGAAATATTGCTGGAAGAAGGAACACAGTAAGCAAATACAGAAAGGACAACATATTTTGAAGATATCAGATTGGTTGTAGGAGAAAAGTATTTCTAGCTGTGTGAATTACTATCCAAAATAAATTAGGATTCTGTGCATAAAGAATTATAGGAGAATAGAAACTGAATAGTCAACTGCTATCTGCCAGTGTTGAATATTTGGCTTTGAAGTGTAGGATACAAATTTTAATTAGATTTAAGATTATTCATAGAATTGAACTTTAATCTGCAAGAAAGGGTATAAATTTAGGGACGAAAAGAAGAATAAAAAGAAAAATTGGGTGAACCCATGTGTTCAGAAAAGGGCAAAGGAGCCAGCAAAGGAGACAGTGGAGTATCAGAGAAGCAGGGGAAGAGGAAGTGTGAAAATGTCCATGTTAGAGGAGACGTCTGGTGCCCTCCCGTGGACCTGATGACCTGCCCGTGTTGGGGAGATGGCATGAGTGACACTTGAATGAGAATGTCACATGGTAAAGGTAGGTCCCTGGGGAGGAGAGAACAACCCAGCCACTGAAAGCCCTGGCGAGGTGGGGTGCAGAGCGAGGGACCCCACAAAGAAGAGGGCAAGCTCTGGCTGTGGAGGGTCGTGGGGGATGGGCGAGGCAGGGATGGAGGTGTTAGCAACCAGGAGCCAGGACGCCCAAAGCTAGCTCAGGTTCAGGGGACAGTAGCCCCAAAAGCTTAGGTTTGAATCAAGACAGATCAGGATTTGACTCTCAGCTCCTTCACTGGCTGGATTTTAACCCTAAGTGATAGAAGTTAGGCATCAGCAAAACCCAATAGTTAATGAGAATAATGATAACTACCATAACTACCATGTATTTAGTGCTTCTCGTATGGAAGAATTTTACAAACACTATCTCCTTGTGTCATTTAACCCTCATAAGAATTCTCATTAGATGGATTTTATCATCCCACTTGTACAGAAAGGGAATCCGAGGCTTAGTGTGGTGAAGTGATACAGTCACTCTCAGAGGATTAGTAGGAGGGGGCCAGGGCTCAAAACCCGGCTCTAAAACCTGTGTCCTTGACTGCTCTGCAGGACTGTGTTTCTTCCCAAAACTGAGTATCCCAGTCTCAGGGGCATGCAGCCTTGAGACTGCCAGGCCAGGCCCGTTCCACCGCCATGCCTCTCTGCCTTTCCTCTCATCCTGACTCGATGCGAAATCTGTTGGGGTTCCCAGTAACTTAAAATGGAAAAGTGGAGAAGGGAGCTTGAAGCCCAGCTCCCTGAGCACTCAGCCCTCAGCCAGGCCACCAGGCATGGCCCCCACCCCCATCCCTACCCTCTAGGCTTCCTGGTTTTAGACCCAGCCTGTACCAAGGCCAGGCTCATCTCCTGGGCATCCCAGTCCATGCATCTGTAGATCACCACTCGTGATCCTGGTTCTCCTGAGCTGCTATGTGTGGAATTACGCAGGGTAGGAAACATAGCCTGAGAAGATCTGGCCCCTTAAACAACTGAGGATATGCCTATTGTCTGTCCTGTTTTCTTCTCACTCCAGGGCCCTCTTGGACCCTTTCCTCACGCACGAACACTAATGTACCAAGTCCCTGGGATGTCTTTAGAACCTTAGAAGGCAGCGTTTGGAAGCCGAGTGCCTGTGGGCAGCCCCTGCCTCCTGCTCACCTCCCTCCCATTCTCACCTCACACTTCCTGAATCCCTGTTGCTACCCGCTGTGGCAAGGTTAGACCAGGAAGCCCACTGGTTAGGGATACAGGGCTGGTGCATAGCGAAGCGAGCGTGCGTCCAAGGCAGTGACGAAGCGTCCAGAGAGGTTGTGAGCAAGTCGGCAAGTCAGCAGAGTGAGAGGTCACTGGGAGAACAGATGGACAGGCCTTTGTTGATGGGCAGATAGCTGCCTTCTGCGTGTGGTCACAGTTGAGCCCTTAACAGGTGCCTATGGTAGGGACACACCCCGTTCTGCAGTGTGGGCTGCTGCACTGGCCCCCGAGCTCCTCCGTGGTAACTGCTCCTGCCTTCAACTCAGCCTAAAAGGGCTCATGGTAGGAGCCATGGATGGAGTCCTGGGCAGGGTCTCCTGTAGTTACTGGGCAGGAGCAGGCTCTTTCCGGGGCTGGGAGAAGCCCAGTGAGGTGGGAGTGGGCTGGCTCCTGAGAGCAGTGTCCAGCCCGCAGAGCCAGGTGGCCACAAATCTGCCAGGTCCAGGTCTTGTGCCTGGGACAGCCTTGCAGGGGGCAGGCAGCCCCGTGGAGAGAACCAAAACACAATGGCATATCCCATGGGGGACTGTAGGCAAATGCCTTAGCCACGCCAGGCCTCGTTTTCTGTCTGTGACATGCCAGGATTATGCCTGCTCCTCATTGTGGCTAGCACACTGCCCCTGTTACACCGGAGCCCAGCAGGTGCTCCACACAAGCTGTTCCTCTCCTGTCCCATCCCTCTGCACAGAGTTCTGTGTGCCAGTGCTGTTGCTGCCACTCACAGCAATGTCAGTGTGCCTGTGTTTTGTGACAGGAGCTGGGGTCCAGAGTGCTGCTCCTCTGCCTCCCCTCCCCATGACCTTCCTCCTTGACATCAGTTTGGCCCTTCCTTGGCACCTTTCCCCCCAGTGCTGCGTTAGAGCAAGGTGCACACCCAGGCCATTGCACCTGCAAAGGTGGGTGAGTTCCCTAAAGGCAGGGCCTCATCCTTGTCCTTCTCTTCTTAGAACCTGAGCCCTGGAATGCTAATCCCCATTGGATAGTTACTACCCCATAGACTCAAAAATGCCAGGTTTGGCCACATAGGTATTATTTGTACGCTGCAGTTCTGCACACTGTGTCTGTTAGTCAGGTATAGGAGTGAGAATGCATTCTCTGATTTCTTATTTAGTTTGGTTTTACCTAAACCAAGTTTGTCATTGCCACTGCCCACCCCTCCACTACTCCTTCTAACAGCAATGGGGTCTGCATTACATCCATACCCCCCTCCTATTATCACTTACAAAAATCCACTGTAACTTTTCTGTTATTGGGTTGGTGACCCAGATGGTTTTAGTTTGCTTTTCTTACCCACTGAGATGGTGTCAGGATGTGTCTATTATAGGCTTTGTTAGCTGGCTATGGAGGGGAAAGTATGATTAAATTGTGACTGTGTAATGTGATTTAAATGTCATGATTGATAGTATCAAGTCTGCAATGGAAAGAAGTAGAAAGAAAATAGGAAGAGGTTCAGATATTGTTTTATACATTTCACAGGGGTCCTCAAACTACAGCCCGCAGGCCACATGCGGCCCGCTGAGGACATTTATCCGGCCCGCCGGGTGTTTTGCCGCTGCTGCCTGTCCTGCTTAGCAGCCAACTCATCCCAGGCCCACAGTGCACATGTGTGGAATGTGCACCACACCCTCCAACGGCCCTCCAACAGTCTGAGGGACAGTGAACTGACCCCCTGTTTAAAAAGTTTGAGGACCCCTGATTAAGTCTCATTCTACTGTGCACACAACATCATTCAGAGTGTAATTAGCCAATATAGTTAATACCTGCAATTCAAAGCTAACCAAGAGAGGATAAGATTTTATTGGCCCCTTACAATTGAGGCTAAGCTTTTAATTCTTTGCTTTCAAAAAGCACATGATGCCTAATTGAACCAGATGCAGTGTGTGCTGGCTTCTTCCTACGGTTTGGAGTCTACTGACCCTCAGAGCCAGGAACCAGAGCCCCCACGCGGTGTTCCGGCTCCCGCAAAGAGCTCCCCCTAGTGTGAAGTGTCAGCTTCAGCACCCAGTGTGGAGGGCGGGAGCCCTGCTGAGCGCTGGCCCACACCAGGCACGCAGTCCAGTCTGCATCTCAGCACAAAGTCTGCCCCCTACAAAGGCTCTCTAACAAGAGAAGCCCTCCCAGGCTTCTGCATTTCCCATGTTAAGCTTAAAAGAAAAAGTCAAACTCGGAGCAAAAGCCCAAAGAAACTTTGGGAATTCTTTTTTTTTATTTATTTATTTATTTTAGCTTTATGCTTCGCTCCCCTTGGAGAGTAAACTCCACAACTTGACTTTCAAAGGGGGGTGTAATAATCAGGGGTGCAGTGTTTAGAAGTGTGGGTGTATCTAGAGGCCACAAGACTAGACTAGGCACGTGTTCAGATGGACGTCAGTTATGGCTGTGAAATTCTGCTTTTAGAGATTGTGCAGAAAGCCGTTTTACCCCTTTCAAAATCAAGAACTACTGGTAGAAAGTTCGTTATTTTTTTTTTTTTTCATTTTTCTGGAGTGGAGATGAAAGTTCGTTATTTCATGTGCTAATGGGAAACCCTTCTTGTCACGGTGCTTTTCTACGATGAGACCATTACTCACGCATTCATACTGTGATCTCTTGTCATTTCTTGTCCATAGGGAAAAACTGGGACCTGACAGCCGCTCTCAGCGACTATGAGCAGCTCCGACAGGTGCACACAGCTAACCTGCCACATGTGTTCAACGAAGGGAGGTGTCCCAAGCAGCCAGAGCGGGAGCCGCCCCAGCCCGGGCACAAGGTGGAGCGGCCCTGCCTGCAAAGGCAGGACGACATTGCCCAAGGTACCGCTGAGGGCTGAGCCCAGGCTCGGCTGCCTGGGCTGGTGCGCCATGGCTCACAGGCGGTTGGGTGGTGCAAAGAACGGTGGGGTCTTCCCCTTCCAGCTGCAGACAAGTGGGACTCCCGGAGCATCATGTCTTATACCACGTGGACATGTCCTTTGCAGCTTCCATTCATGGCTCCTACCTCTGCCTCAGAAAAGCAAAAGAATGAGTCCAATTCCCTAGGACCCCAACAGCCCTTTAAGTGATTAAAAACAAGCATCCCTCCTGGAATCCTGGTTTTTCCAAACCAAACATGTCCACTTCCTTCAATTATTTCTTAAGTAGCATTATCTCCTTAAGGAGCAAATCTGTTCAACATCACATTCAAGTATGTTAACTGACCTTTTAGTTCACCTTTTCCCACCGAACTAAAATGTCGACTTTGCCATATATTAAAAACCCAAACATACTTGGGCTCTGTTCTTCTAACAATGGAAAAGAAGACAAACTCTGTAAAATAATTTAAGGAGGTTTATTCTGAGCCAAATTTGGGGACCATGACCTGGAGCCACGTCCAAGAAGACTTAAGCAAGTGGACTCACTGTGGTTGGGTCACAGTTTGATTTTTATACATTTTCAGGGAGACAGGAATTACAGGTAGAATCAAAAATCAATATATGGAGGGCATACATTGGTTTGGTCCAAAAAGGGTAGGACATTTTTTGAATCAGGGGCTTGTAAGTCATAGGTGGATTTAGGGATTCTTTAGTTGACAGTTGGCTGAAAAAGTTAAGTTTTGTCCAAAATACCAGGAATCAGCTGAAAGGAATGTTTAAGGGTCTTCTATCTTTCATGTGATGCTATGCCGGAATCAGGTTGGGAAGCAAACAACCTCATAAAAACCTGATTACTGAGTTTTTATCATTTGTAGGCATGACTCACCACGCCTGCTTAGAAAGGGATGTTTTGGGGGCAAAGAAAAAGATCAAAGTTCAGTTCTCACTTCCCACCTGTGTGGCTGACCCTGTTATACTCAACTCTAGTAGTTTAATGTAGTATTAATATTATTCTCTTTTAAGACAAACTCCTCCATTGATACACTTTTCCAATTTTTTTTACCATTTTGAATATTTACTCTGCCATATAAACCTTAAAATTATCATTCTGATTGGAATTAGACTGGATTTTTTATTTCATTTGAAGAATAATTGACATTTGCAATATTACTCTTCCATCTAAGAACATTACGTATGCCTCTCCATGTATTCAGATTCTGTTAAGACTCTACTAGGGGTCCTCAAACTATGGCCTGCAGGCCACATGCGGCCCGCTGAGGACATTTATCCAGCCAGCTAGGTGTTTCTGCCGCCGCTGCCTGTCCTGCTTAGCAGCCAACTCGTCCCGGGCCCACAGTGCGCATGTGTGGAATGTGCGCCGCACTCTCCAACGGTCTGAGGGACAGTGAACTGGCCCCCTGTTTAAAAAGTTTGAGGACCCCTGCTAGGCAAAGAGAAAATCAATTTATTTTTTATTTATTTATCTTTTTTCTAGTCAACTACATAAATTCTCTTATTAGGTCTAATAGTTTGTTCTAAGAGAATCACTTGGATTTCCCAAATATACAATCATATCATAGGAAATAATTTAATATTCTTCTTCATATTGACACAGTTAATTCAGTTTCTTGTCTTATTGCATTAGGTAGACCTTCCTGAGCTGTTATGAGTGAATTCCGTCTGTGTTCCTGTTAGTTCAGCCTATCATTCAAACTATAGTTGAATCTACATCTTAGATTATTCTTGTCTGCTTATTGTGCTATCTAGAAAAGCCACATTGAGTTAAAAATTTTAATAAACATTATCTGTTTCTTCTCTTAGTTTTATCCTTTCTGCTTTATTTGTTTTGAGGCTATATTGTTAGGTGTATGTGTATTCATCATTCTTAGGTTATCTTGCTCTAAGATTCTTTTTTAGCAAAATATAGGCTGTCTCTTTGTCAAACCATCTGATATAATGGTTTTTATCTTGAAATTTGTTTTCAATATTAAACCATTACCCTTACTTACTATTGGTTTACATATGCCTGGAATATCACTTTTTCTGCTGTTATTTCAGCCTTTTTTATGCTTTCATATTAAATGTGATTCTTATAGATAATTTATCATCAGGTTTTACTTTATTATTAATCCAAGAGTCTCTGTCTTTTGAGTAGTGAATTGAATCCATTCTTTTTCCTATCTTCTCTGGCTAATTAAATTTTTCTACTGGTTTGAAAGTTATACATTCTATTTTTACTCACATTGTAATCACCTCTATTCTATTAAAACCAATATTTTGGTTTTCTTCCTATTATTCTTAAAAACTTAACAGCTGCATATTACCCTGAAAAATATAAGTGTCTTAATATGCTTTTACATTCTCCTTTCCTTCCTCTACTTGCCCTCAATCATATTTAGATTTGTTTTGTTGCCTTTGCTTATTTAGGCAACAATTAATATCTTCATTTATACATATTTGTTTCTCTTTTGTTGAAAAAATCAAAGACTACTTCCAAAAAGAGTTTTTTCATAGTGAATCTCCTAAGGCATTGAGTGCCTAAAAAGATTTACACAGTGTACTTAAATTTTTGTTTCGTGGAATAAAAATTCTCGGTAAAAAAAATTACTTTCCTTGAATACTTCACAACCCTTCCTCCGTTGTGTTCTTGCAACTCCTATTTTGTCTTCTAAAAGATTCCCTTGACCTGATGATCTAACATCCCCATTCATTCTTCACATGAGTTCACTGTTAGCCCCATTCACTTCTCTCCATTCCAAATTAGTTCTTTGTCATTATTATTATTATTAATTCCCATCCTGGTTTTCTATCTCTTTGCACATGTTTGCGAGGCTCCTTTTTGAATCTTGTCCTCTTGTCCGTTTATTCCACTTCCCTGGCCTTAGGACTTTGTTGGCCTTCTCTGATAGTCCTTGCCCTCCTCAGCTATTTCCTCAGTTTCCCTGTGAATTCCTGGGGCCTGTGGTCATCGGCCATCTTCACTGTGGTACACAACAGGTGACAGAACTCTGACTCGGGCTCTGGTCATGCTTGTTGGAATGAGAGTGGGCTGAGCGCTCAAGCTGAGAGCCTTGAGTGTTTACATTTGGGCTCTAAACATTCCCTCCTGTTCCCTTCCCCACAGTCGGCTTTTCCCCTGAGAGAAGCTCCCCGCACTTCTCTTTTAGAAAGTGCTCATTTCCGGAGGCTGCCACCCTCTGCTGTAACTGCCAGGCTCCGGGTGTGTTGGAGAGAGGCGGGAAAGCAGTGCTCATTGTCATCGGGCCCACCCGGCTGCACTCCAGGACTGCCTGGCGTTCCTCTGGCTGGCACGAGCCCACCCTGCTGGGATGATGGGCGTGGCAGTGGCCCATGGGGGCCGTGCTGGGGAGAGAAAAGGCATAGCCAGATGTCTCCCCAGCCCCTCTCCTTGGGGCCTCGTTCTTCCGCCCCTGGTGGTCTCCAGGGTGGGTTCAGGGAGAGGCTGTTGAGGCTCGCTCACTGTCGTGTCCCGCTTGTTGAATCGTTGTTAAGTCCTGTTTCATTTCCATCATTACACCTGACGGGCGGAGCCGTCTCCCCCAGCCGTTTGGCTCAGTCTTGCACTCAGGGCCTCCTCCCTGTCATGCCCTCAGCTCTGCACAGGTGGGCTTTTGGCACCCTCGGTGTGGCGGCAGTCCAGAGAGTTCCTGCTCTTTGGGGGCTGGCAGCAAACAAGCCAACCTGTTATCTTACCCTCCTGAGGAGGGGGCTGGAAGGACCCTCCTCTCTGCTTCAAGAGAGGTTGACGGAACCAGGGCCTAATGAGTGCAGCTGTCACCTGCTGCTACCTGATTTTTCTCAGGTATCATTTAAGGAAGAAAAAAAAAAAAAAAGACAGGAGTCTATCATAGCATAATCCTATTAATTGAGGCTTGTGAGCAATCATATCTATTTTTAATAAAACTGGATTTATGTATCCCTTAATTGAGTTCTTCCTAAAATCTTAGTGTACTAAAATCGAAAATGGAGCACCCCATATTCCAAATCAGCATTTGCTGACCCTGAGCCAAATCTGGCCGCTGCCTATCCTATGGATGAAGCATTATTGGCACCCCTCCCCGACTCCTGCTCCCGTATGTATTGCCTGTGGCTACGCCAGCACTACTGAGGCAGAGTGGAGTAGTTGATACTGAGACTATCTGGCCCACAAAGCCTAAAATGCTTATATCTGTCCCTTTCGGAAAAGGTTTGCCTACCTGTTTTAAGATGTACCTAGGATTGGTTTGAATCAGGTGTGGTGAGACACACAGACACGGAAATGACTGTCACGGAGGAAGATGAAGCACCAGCGTCAGTCAGGAGGTGGGGGGGGGGGAGGTGGGCCAGAGCCTTTATCTATCATGATTTCTGTGACCTTTATCATGACTACTTTGAATAATTTTAGCAGGCTGTAGGGCCTAGGACCAGTCTCTAATTGTCTGGTTCCTGTCCTAAGGTGATTAGGGCAGGGGAATGTTGCCTCTTGCAGGATAGGAGTGGTAGAGAAGGTGGTTCAGAGCCCGGCCCTGGACTGGCTGGTTTGCACAAGAAAGGAAGGCTCCTGGGCAAGTCTCTATCTCTAAGGACTGGTTAGCCTTGGGAGGGCCAGCCTTGCCCCCTTCAGAGAGGCCCCAGGTGCCCAGAGCATCAAAAATACAGAAAATAAGAAAATATAGCTAGTGTACCTCCCTGTCTTAAACCATCAGTATTTGAGTTGACTTTGTCAGTGGTCTGGAAATTCTGTACATTTTCCCACTAAGCTCTTTTTTTTAAAAAATCTCTCTATGTTTCTCTGGGGAATAACTTTGATCATGGTAATTCCTGCAAAACATTTCACTTATACATCCAAAAGAAGGATCAACAAGTTCATGTTTAAAGAATGAGTCTGTGAGTGTGTATGTGTGTATATATATGTGTGAGTATGTGTCTGTGTGTGAAACTAAGAGAGAGAGAGAGAGAGAGAGAGAGAGAGTGTGTGTGTGTGTGTGTGTGTGTGTATGAGATTATACATGTTCAGCCATGGAGGTGGTGGTGAGGAAATGTTAGAAGTAGGAGCATATATTTCCATTATTTGATCTTCAACACAATCTATTTTTAGTTCAAAAATGCTTTTTTCCTTCAGACTCCAAACATTTCATGATTTTGGAACTGCTTCATAGCATCACATTGTACTATGAATCGCAATCCTTTAAGGCCTCAGTATCGGCTCATTAGTTGGCAAATAGGTGCTGACTAATAAGCCCAGAACAAGTGTGGGTGACTCTGGCTGGCAGATGCCCAGTGCTGAGAGCAGCCTCTGGTTGTCTGACCACCGGGTAGCTGGTGCATGTGCCCCTCAGTTCTCCAACGCCTCATGTCCATCTCCATGGGGTCCCCAAGTATGGGGCCGTTCCCTCTTTCACAGACACAAAAAGGTAGTTTGTATCAAGAAGAGTAAGACCAGAGTAGACCATGATGTTTGGGAATGCTATGACGAGAGCTATCCAGTCAGAGAGAACTACATTAAATGACTTAATATGTGTGTCCTAGGGAGGCTCATGTGGGACATGATTATCACAGTAACTTTGGGAAAAATAACCTATCCTAAAATCTGAGCCACAGTGGAGAACACTGGATAGACTGCTGCTTGTGTTACATACATAAATGCACAAAGACAAAGAGCATCTCCCTGGTGCCATTTAGTGCCAGGAGAGGACGGCTCTCAGAGCTGAGTTAGAGGTAACTTCAGACCCAAAAGCACGCCTGGGGCTCTTTGGCACTGCTGGTGTGTGCTTGTGCAGTGGGCTGGCAGCTCGCCGCATTACGAGTCGTTCGGTGACTCATGTCAGTGCCATACGCCAGGTGGTGGTGATGTTAGTACAGCAGCCGGACGGCCTGCAGGATAGGAAAGGCTTATAGCGTGCAAGGGCTGGTGTGGACGGATATGGGTGTGCATGTGTACGTGTGTGTGTGTGTGGATGTGTACAGGCCTAAATGTGTGTAGTGGGTATGCATGTGTCCATGTGTGTGCACCTGTGTGTACAGTATATACATGTATTATTTAGTGTGTATAAGGACATCGATGTGCATACACGTGTGTATAGTATGTAGTGTATGTACATGAACATGTGGGTATGGATGTGTTCATGTGTATAGTGTATCACCTAGTGTATGCATACATATCTACATGTATGTGTGTCTTCATGCATGTGTGTATGCTGTGTAGTGTGTGTATATGTATACTGGTGTCTAGTATATATATGTCTAGTGTATGCAAGTATGTGTATACTTTTGTGTATGTGTGTGCATAGCATTTATAAGCACATGTTCAGGTATGTGCATGTGTTCAGTTTGTACATGTACATGTATCTGTGTGTATGGGTGTACGTGTATGTACATGTGTGTGTGAGCATGTGCATGTGTGTGCACATGTTGTGGTTGCAGTGTGCATTGTTGTATGGGAGTGTGTATACATGGATTGTGAGTGATGTGTTTGTGTGTATACATATGTATATGTGTTTGCATGTGTGGTGTGTGTATCTGTGTGTGGTGTGTGCACATGTGTGTGCATGTGTGTTCATGTGCAGACACAGAGCCATACCTATACCACTCAGTCCCTGTGGCTGTCTTTCCTTGTCCCCCTGCAGAAAAACGACTTTCCCGGGGGATCTCTCATGCCAGCTCAGCCATCGTCTCCCTGGCCCGGTCCCACGTGGCGAGTGAATGCAACAACGAGCAGTTCCCCCTGGAGATGCCAATCTACACATTCCAGTTGCCAGATCTGAGCGTGTACAGCGAGGACTTCAGGAGCTTCATTGAACGGGACTTGATTGAGCAGGCAACGATGGTAGCTTTGGAGCAGGCAGGTGAGTGGCTCCTGCCAGCAGGCTTGCGCTCTTTGGGTCAGTGAATGCGTGAGCTGGCCTAACTTACTCAAACAGCAAGAGAAAGACGCGTGTTCTGAGACCCTGGCAGTCTTCAAGTAGGATTCTAGATGCTTGCACCAAATCTCCTGTTCTAAAGACTGTGCTCTAGCCCAGCACAGACTGGATGGAAGGGCTAATGACCAGGTGATGCTGAAATCTCTTAGGTTTTTCCCTTACTCCTAAATCCCAGTCCTTCCCTACAGAGAATCTATGCTTCCTTGCCTTGCTTTTCTCTGTCCCCACCCAATTCTTCCATGGGTTTGAACAAAAGATAAGGAAGACTGTGGGCTTTAGAGAAAATAGGAGACCTCTGTCACTTCCTGTGGACATGGGCAAGTCATGTAACCTCCCTGAGCCTCAGGTTCCCCATCTGCAAGGGGGAGAAGACTGCTGAGCTGGTAGAGCTTTTTGACTACTAAGTGACATGTGCCTTCCATACCTGTTAGTTCCTGTCCACCAGCCTTGCTAGCCTTCAGGTCAAGGGAGCACAAAGCCTGAATTCAGTCTCCTTCCTTCTCCTTAATGTTCTCTCCTCACCCTGACATCCCAGTGAGAAAGAGTTTCAAGGAGCAAGCCAAACTTCTCATCTTTGGAGTTCCTAAGGAGAAAATAATTAGTCCAAAACAAACATCTAAATCAAATTTAGGTTCTTCCTAAGCAATACCTATTTCACTTATAATCATCTGCATCATAAATATTGCAAAATCACATATCTGTGGGCTTCTCAGACACACATATAGAAGACTCCATGACTCTCTTCCCAGGCCCATCATGCACCTCCCAGTGGGCGCTGCAGGCATGGCTGACAGTGCACACAAAGCATGTCCTCAGCCAAGGGGACCCCTGATCCCGCTGGGGCTGGGAGACAGGGCCTTTCCATTCTGACCCAGCTGTCAGCCAGCTCTTCCATCTGCCATGGAGTGGAGCCGCCACTCCTAAAGGTCATGGAGATGCTCCCAGTGTAACATCCCAGGAGAGCAGGAGAGCAGCCTCTGCCTGAGCACCAGCCGTGAGAGGATTCCGTTGAGGGCTGCAGCCAGCAACACACTGTTAGGGAGTGGACTTAGCTCTCAGCCAAGACCCAGTAAAAATTGTCAAGCACATTTGAGTGTGTCAAAGAAGTCAAAAGGGAAGGATTTGTAGGTTGGCATGATCCTGACATTGGTGGGTGATCAGGCAGGATCTCAGAAGGAAAGAAAAGGTGGCACACCAAAACTAATGAGGTGGGGCTGTTTGCCCACAAGCGGGCAGGGTTTAAGGACACTAGCAAAGGACAGTGCTGTCCCTGGGAGTAGCCCCAGCAGAGTCATTGCTACCACTGGGCTTGGCAAAGAGGCAAAGGATGAAAGTAGTTGCATGGAGACAGCCACTGGCAGGAGGTGTGGTTTGGGGGAGATAGAAGATGCTGGAGAAATAAATTCTCTGACCACGGTCTTTCTCCACCATCCAGGCTCTGACCAGTGCTTCTTACTGGCATAAGGACAAGTTGCGGTGAACTCAGTGCTGTGGTCCATGCAGGTCACCTGCTGGGCACAGAGCGGTGTGGAGAAGGGTAGATGGTAGATCTGCAGGGCAAATGGGAAACATCTAGAGAGTCGACATGTCAGAGCTTCTGTGTGTGCTGGTTTCATCCTATGGCTTGTCGGAGTCATGCAAGGGCTGTCCTTATTCACCGCTTTCAAGTGGGAAGCACAGATGCATTTCGACAAAGGACAGGGTGGTGATTCTCGGGGTCTTATTTGTGTGGGGCAGGCTCGCAGTCAAGTCTCAGCCACAGGACTCAGGGAAGCCTCAGCAACGGTGTGCATGGCTTTAGAACAGGCTCTGCACTCCCGGTGACTGGATCTCAAATTGTCATCTCAGCTGCTGCACAGCCATCAGAAGCAGCACTGTGACTGGCACCCAGAGCCTCTCTCTGTCTTACCTTAACATCTTTGATGGATCAACAAACAGAACAACAACAAAAAAATCAATCCATCTGGATTAGCCGTGCTCCCCCACTCACCGTGGGGGCTGGCTGTCTTTAAGCTGTGTCTATATGACTAGTTCCAATAAGATATTTTTCAACAAAAGACTCAGTATTCATAGAGAAGGGGAAATTAGCATGGGTTAAGAAAGAAACAAGTTTTGTGAGTGGCTCTCTGTTGAATGCCACGGCGGGCAGCTCAGCCCAGAGCCCTGTTCAAGGGCATAGGTAGAGTCCACCACGTTGGCCTTCTCCTTTAGCCCTTCCATGCTTAGCTAATGCCTTTACTTCTTTTGAATGTCTTTACTGTTATTTTTTCCATATTTCACATTCATTTTTTTTATTTCAGCATATTTTTTATTTCAGCATATTTTTTTTATTTCAGCATATTAACCGTAACAAATGTTAAGGTTACGTATATTGCCCGTGCCCCCACTCCCCCCTCGAGTCAGAGCTTCAAGCGTGACCATCCCCCAAACGTTGCGCATCTTGCTCGTTGTGTTTGTATATACCCTCCTCCCCTCCTCCCCCCTCCCACCTGCCAGGCACCCGATAAATGTTTGTCCTATATGTCCGCTTAGGTGTTGATCCCTTAATACCAATTTGCTGGTGAGTACATGTGGTGCTTGTTTTTCCATTCTTGAGATACTTCACTCAGTAGAATGGGTTCCAGCTCTATCCAGGAATATACAAGAGGTGCTATATCACCATTGTTTCTTAAAGTTCACATTCATTTTTATCACTTACATTTTACTTTCCAGACTACATTTTAAAAGGATGCTATTTGATTTCAACCAAGAGTCTTGAGAAACACCCTTTAAAAACCCAGGCTTACTGAGTTAAGATGTTAATTCACAAACAGGTCATTGTTTATGTCACGCACTGTGCTGTGAAAAGAGCAGGTAGCAGATATCAGTGATCGCCCCCCTGGGGGGAGGGGGAGGGAGCCTGGTCCACCTGGTCTGCGCTAGTGGGAGGCTTTGGTGAACCCGGCTGGTCCCTACCTTCAAGGTGCAGTCAAAGGCACTCATGGCACAATTAGCACGTAAAGATCAGGGGTCTGCCTCAGGCAGAAGTCCTAGAGTCAACATGTCTTCTCCTTCCCGCACACTAAAAAGCAGTGCGTGTGCACAGACGGCTGTGTGTCCATTCCCTAGCCGAGCGAGGCAGTCTCTGTGCTGGGCGAGCAGGGACCCGACTGTAGCGCCGTCCACCTGACTTCTCGGAAATTCTCTTTTCCTCAGCTGTCAAGCAGGGGCTTAGGCTAGCTGATCTCTCAACCCTTTCTGTCCTCAGATTCTGGTGGGGCCCCCTGGCTGAAGCTAAGTGGGTCCCCCAAAGTCCCCCTGGGGTCTGAGGAGTCTGGCCCTCCAGCCCCGCCAGGCTGTGCTCCCAAGACCTCTGCTGCTGCAACCGGGGGTTGGGAGGGTTTTGGGGTGCCACTTGAGCTCTACCATGAAACCACAGGCTGAGGAAGCTGCTGGGATTGCTGGGTACAAAGTGTAAATTCCTCTTCTTAGCAGTTTAGTGCTCAGAATGGTTATGAATAAACTATATGCAATATTTTATATTTATATTAATATGCAATATTATTTACTTGTACAAAGGAGATTGAAATATAGATGTCAAAAAATGTAAACAGTGAAAAAATATCCACTTGTTTCAAGGACATTTCTAGCTGTAACTGGCAGGAAATGTCATCTCTGTCACAAGACCTCAGGGGGGAGTTCCCTTTCCTTTGGGACTGTGCATGAATCCGGGCTCACATGGTTCAGAAAATGGCAAACAGTGGCCTTTACTCAGTCAGCATTGCTGGTGGCCCGGCTGTCCATCCTGGGGGCCTGACTCCACTGTCTCGGGGCCCTGCATTGTGTGAGTGTTCAGGGTGTCTTCCCGGCCTCCTGGGGCAGTCCCTCTATTTGCGAGGCCTCCACATCGGTGGGGCGCCAGCCTTGAACTCCCACAGAACCCACACGTGGGGGAGACTATTTTTCCCCATGCCTTAAAATCTTGAAGGGTACAACCGACTCCAAACCCATGACAGTCTCAGGGCAACAGAAGGGCCCAGTGCTGAGGACCTAAACCCTGCTGACCTCCTGAGAGGGGAGCGGAGACCCCTTCATTCTCGAGTGACTAGCCTGCCACCGAGAACACAAGAAACCACTGATTTCTGCAGCGGTGACGCTGGTGCATTCACATGCGGGAAGACAGAAGACTCGGAGGCCAGGGTCTCGGGGTTTGGGAAGTGACGTCCAGTGTCGGGTTCAGAAGCTCCCCACCACGTGGGTGAGATGGTGTGTGGTACTTCAGCAGGTCCTGGGTGCAAGGGTAGAGGCATTTTTGTGTGACTTCGTAGTTACTGCATACATGGGAGACTGAAGTACAGATGTCATAAGGTATTTAGGGACACCTTTGAGTTGTGGTGTTGAGTCTTGTTTCCATAGGGGATAATTTCATTGGGGCGAATCTGCCAGAGAAGCCGTGAGATGTGGAGGAGGATTGCAGGCTTTGGAGAGCCTGCCCCTGGCTGCAGTCCTGGGTAGGCTGGGAGAGCTTGGCCACGTCACTTGGCCCTCGAGGAGGAGCCTCGCTTTCTTCCATCTGAAAGTCAGAGATGTGTGACAGCTGCCAAGCAGAGACAAATTCGCCACCGTGAGCTTGTGCTGCGCCCCCACTAAATGCCCCGTCTGGGTCTGGGGCTACCTCCGCACACCAAGCAGATGAGATCCCTGCCCTCGTGGAGACTAAGTTCCCCTGGGGAAGCAAAGCCAATGAACAGGTGGACCATAAAGATGGGGTGAGGCAGGAGGCTGCTGCGGGGAGGGTAAGCCGCAAGGTAGGGGGCTCAAGCAGATGGGAGGGGCCGAGGCATCCTCCCTCGGATGCCTCTGAGGGCAGGGAGTGATGGAGATGACATCAGAGCCCAGGCATTCCTGGCAAAGGGAGCCTGGTGGCAATGGCTTAGCACGTTTAA